CCACCTTATGACTTTTTCATGTTGTTTTCTCAGGCCAGCAGTTCACCACTAGAGAAAAAAGCTGTAAAAGAAGAGAAAAATAACTGGCAATAATGTCAATAACTGTTAACTGTTATAAATCATAGTCTACAAAGTTAAAGCTACAGTATAAAACTTTTTTCATATATTTTTGTTGCAGAAATCTGCTTTAAAACTTGTCTTAATGTGAAGAGGTGCTGTCGACGCCTCCTGTGACCCAGATTCGCTGAACAGCACTGGCAGCAGTGCAGAGGCTTTAGCTTCTAAAAGGTTTTGAGTGGGATTGACCTCTCTGACCAATCAGAGATTATCAATTATTTCTGCTTGATCAGTAAGTTTTGCTGCATTGTCATTTATTTTAATTTCACATCAAATACAAATATGATGAGCTGGGCAGAACTTGGCAGTTCGTAGCAGGTTGTAGTGGAGCAGGGTGGAGCTGCTTTGGAGTTTCATGCTAGTGCTACTTTAAGTTAGATATTGTAGCTTTACCTTTAATATCAGATTACTTTAGTTGTAACCATAACTAATAATTTCAACCCTTCTCTTAATTTAAACATTCCAAAATGGACATGTAGCCTAACTCATGCAAAAACACTGTTTTTGTGCTATATACCAATGCGTAAAAGTAAATAAAAATAAAATAATGTTTTTAAATAATAGAAATAAATTGTAAGTCATGAAAATAAAAAGACAAATAATACATACATAATAGATTAAACCAATGACTAAAGAAAAAATAACCATATAAAGTTTAGTAACAGTAAAGAATATCACTGCTTGACTCCTTGAGATGTTTTGGATTTGCAGACAAAAATTGTGTTGCTGGTGTGTCTCCTGCCCTACACAGCATGTTCAGAGGTTTTCTGCCTAAGATGGACCTGGACACCCAGGTGGCGAGCTCTGCTTTAAAAGGGTCGAGGTGAGGGGTCACATTTTCTTAAGGACTTCAAAGTCCTTTTGGATGACAGGCTTCTCTGAAACGCAAATGATGAATTGTCTGTGGTCCCAAAATTCATCTCCCGTGTTTGCTGTTTACCTCATCAATGTGCTACAGATGTAGAAGGGCAAAGGTCAGTGAAGTTAAAAAAAAAAAAAATAGGGGTGGACCCGGAATAGGTTCCAGCCCCCCACAACCCTCGTTAGGATAAGTGGTATAGATAATGGATAGATGGATGATTTGTGTGGTTCTTTTTACTGTGATACTGGGCAGATTGTCAAGGGATACAACTGTTTTGTTTTTTGGGTTGCAAGCAGATAGTCTGCTGAAGCAGTAACTGGTTTAGGCAACATCAATCACAAAATAAAGTATATGATACTAAGTTGCATTGAAATGTCATTTAAAATGTTTTAAGAGCTTAAAAGGTCAAACTGAGGCTGGTGACGTTTTTTTGTAGACCTAACCTAGAATTTTAAGAAATTAAACAAGAAGCTTTTTTCTTTAAAACACTTTTTTTTTCTTTTGTTTTGATACAACCTGTAAAATTTTGATTCTCTTAAATACATACTATGCAGTAGTATACTGTGTAGTCTTGAGAGGACTTTCTCTTAACTAAAAATTCACCAGCTCTAGAACTTTATCAGTGTACAAGTGCATTGTCATTTCATCAGTGCTCATTTCTGAGATGCTTCCTCAGAGCTCTCCTGTCAGTCACAGGATGCAGTTTGTGCCTCCAAATACTGCATGTGTGTGTGATACAGACTGCAGGTTTAGAGTACTGTACTCACACCTTTTTTGGTCCAGTTCAAGTGCTGTACTGCTGCATGTTGTTTTATTTACTACTATTTTAGTTTTGTGGCTGAAGCCACTTTTAATCTTTGTTTGAGGAAAAGCACAAACAATGAGTTTAAAAAGGAAGATTAAAGTGTTTCTGTTGACTAGCTCAAGGCTCACCATCAGACAGGAATGTACCTAAAAGCCATTTATAGATGACATCTCAGACTAACATTTCCCTCTGTTCATAAAAACTACATGTTTGTTTCTCAGAAAATTCCACTCACACATGGACATTTGAGAGCTTCAAGGCAAAACCACTCGTAATCTCAGCTGTGTTGTGTTGTAGGGCACTAATATTGAGACTGAGTCTTGTAGCCATGGAGGTAAATGTTTGCCTCTTGTCTAGCTACCCCCGTCTCCCAGATATTGGCCATTTCATTCCAACATTTTAAAAAATCTAGACCAATAGTAATTCAAGCTTAAGGCTCCCAGGGTACCAATAAAAATGGATGCATGAATGTTTGATGCAGTATTTCTTCTTGTCCCTCTTAGGGAAGCTTTTTGTAATAGAATCATCCCTGCTTATTGCTTCATACTATACTTTAATGTTGCATCCTACTCAAGAAGAACAGGAGCTGAAGGCCTTGAGCATTTTCTTCTCAGATGGTGCTTTACTTTCTGAGTGATGGATAGGTGCCCTTCGGCAGCGTGTGCCCCAACAGTACTTGATTCTGCAGGCTCACATTCCTGACATTTTGAGATGGAAGTGATCCATCCACCAGCAGACGCTACAGGGTCAGCCATACAGTGTCTGCACACTGTAAAACATGTGAAGCTGGTTCAACTTACATGTTCCCCTGCTGCATTTAAAACACAAGTAAACTAAACTTGGGTTGAACAGTTAGGTCAGTTCAATGTTGTTTTGTGAGTTTTGAAAACGTTAAACCAAATCTGCTAACTGAACTTGAGAAAACGAGTTGAAACTAAAGATGCTGACAACTTTTAATTGTATGGGAACTTCACAGTAGCTGTTCAGGCCTCATATTTCTGTCTGATCCCGACTTGAGCCTGATGCAGTTGAGTTTGTATGGTGTTTTTCCCCTTACCATTAAACGAAGCCATCTACAGCTGTCTAGCCTAAAGTTTGACCTTCATGACTGAACTCGACCTGAACATTATTTCTAAATTTCTGTCTAAACCTGGCCTGAACCAGGGCATCGACACGTCCCACTGGGTTTGGTTTGGGTGTCCCCATGCTACTTTGTACCAGAGCCAATATAAACTGTCAGATTCTGAGTACGTGGGAGAAATGACTTTTACCAGTTAGGTGTTGTGCCTGAGTCTTTCTATGGTAGGCAAAACGCTGTCGTGTGGAATGTTCAGAAACCTGGGTAACGGACTTTTTCACACTGGAGGCAAATTTTTCATGTTTTTTTTTTTTTTTACCAATGTTCTGTCCATGAACCCTTGCACACCAACGATGTAATAACATTGAGCAAAAGTGGCTTTTTTTGTTTTTTCCTTCAGTGATAGGAACATGTGACCGATCACGGTGCAGCTTTCTGGAATGTTACAACATTGTTACCACAAGCACATGGTGCACTGCCAACTAAAAGATAAACTTATTTATTAAAGTCATGTTCAATGAATAGTTTGCCTCAGACATATGGCCTGCTGTTATTCCAGTTTGCTTGGGTCGTTGTAATTTCTCCTCTGCCTTTTCAAGCGCTGTGGCAGCAGCAACAATGCAAACTGTCCCCCAGACATCATCTGCAGGTCATCATCACTTGATGTAGATTTTTGTAGCACGTCCTTCTAGAACTTAACATTCCATATTGGTGCCATGTTTGGTGTAAAAATATGAGGTGCATTTAAATTTCCTCCCCCCTTAAACCCCCCCCCCACTATTTTGTATTGTTTATTCACGTTGCTCCGTGTTCGAAAAGCCCTGAGGTCCTATACATGCAAGAGCATCCTGGTTTCTTTCTGAGCCTTCCACCTAGTGTACTCGGGTTTCTCTAAGAGCTTATCCGGATTTCTAAATCAAGGTGATGTTTACATGCGAAAACACAAAAATGGGATACTTGAATAGCTCAATCATGACTGGGATACTCATGTTCATCTAAATGTATATTTTATTTTTTATTTTTTTTGTAGTTTAGCTGATGTGATCATTTAAAACTCCCTCTCCTAGAGCAGAGCTTTATTCCTTCTAAATCTGTTGTTTCCTTTCATGTTGTAAGTGGAGCACAATGGACACAATGGTACAAACGAAACCTTTTAATTTTCTTTGTTTCCTCACAGACACTCAGTGCCGGAAGTTGAATCTTGTTAAGGGACATAGTTGCATTAGCTGCTGTGTATTTTTAATTTGTCATTACATCCAAAATTGAATTGATCAGAGTGACAAATGAAGCTTGCTTTTGGTACATTAGATTTGAGTTTGGGTTTTCAAATTGGATTGGCACTGGGCTATCACAGTAGCTGAATCATGTATCTCACCATACACCATATTCACCACGTGTTTTGAAAACAGACAGAGAAAAAGCAATGAGTTGTCATCTGACTTTATTTGATAACCTAGACCCCCACCACCAAGGGCTATTACCATAATAAAAAAAGTCTTAAAACATACAAAATCAGTTACTCAACAAAATGAGGTGAAACAGAAAGTGTTGCAAACTGGATGCTTCCTCGTTCAAAGCTGGACCTACTTTTTTGGGGCAGATGGTTGAATGTTTATACAGTATATTTAACATTGACACGTTGCTTAAAAGTGAAAAACATCACTGACATCTTTGACAAGTGACGGTACACATTGAAAATTAGCAGAGACAGAATAATGCACTATAAATTTAAAGCATACTGTCAGTGGTAAAAACATATACAGCATTTGCAGCTCATATAAAAACAATAAATAACACTGCATGATAGAAGTACACTGTGAATACATGTAATTTCAGGGCTAAACAAGGTCAATGCATAGCAAGACTCCTTGGTACCACCACAGTGCTCTTAACTTATAGTAATCTGTCTACTCTCCTTAATACCACTTTCAAGAACTGCACCGATCCAAATCACCGTACCGAAACCAATTATTGCACTGTGAAATGAAAACAGGAACTTTAGGAGAGCTGTGAAGATGACAACATCATCTTGCAAGGACAGTTTGTTTTGTAATGAGTGTGATAAATTGGACCACCGCTGACCTGCATCACAGCTAAAATCATATGTTTGCTCACGTTAAGTTTCTGACCGTCAGGGCTCCTGTTCAAGCCATTAATGGTTTGTGCGGGAACAGAAATGTTTCTTGATCAGTTATTGGCCACGTGATTCTCTTAGAGCGGAGAAATGTTTAAATCACCAGACCGCTTGGAAAACGGACAGTCAAGCGCTGGGCTTTATAGTGGTGCTGTGATAGAAGAAAGCGGCTCGAGGAAATGGGAGTAGGACATAATTTAATGGTGCATTTATAATTCATTTTCAAGTTTTAATTTGTGTGCTCACCCACAGTAGTTAAATTTTGTGCAACTCCAGTGTGATGCAAAATGTCTTTTTTCTTTTTGGAGTGATCAGTTACGCCTATAGACACACGTGTGGAACATCCCGATGGTATTTTATTGCTAGAAAATGAAAAAGGCATCATCGCTGTGGAGCAGGATGAAGGAGGAGATCTGTTTTCTGCAAATGTGCTGTGAAATTTCCTCTTGTGAAGTGCAAGGAATTTTGGAAAATGAAGAACACATGATGAAGCTTCACATCGTGGATGAGTGTGCGTCACTGTTGATCATCAAATAAATTGGGTGTTGTCAAGGTCAAAGCCATGTGTATGGGGTAGCTGAATAAGAAAAGCATTCCTCTCTAATGAGGATGTAGTGTGAAGGACAGGAGAGAGGTGTGGAGATGTGAGGGGCTAATGTGACAAAGGGAATGAGATAATAGTGTTTAAATGGGATCACAATGAAATTTTGAGGTGAAAGCAGCTACGAGGGGGCTGATGCAGTGGCAGGAAGTGCTGAGTGAGATCAATAGATATTAGCAGCCAACACTGCTGCAACTGAATGCAAGGCTTGTGTTGACGTAGTGTGGAGGGATATTGAGTTCTCTATGGTTTGTGTTATTTTGAGGCGCTAAATGTGCAGATATCATCCTGCCTTGAGGAAATCTGGGGAACACATCATTTCCTTTAATTGTTCATGACACAGTCCTTCTGCTTTTAAGAACAATAACACACAGGAGTGAGTCACATCTTGAAAAAAATCCAGTGATAAACAATGACTACACATTGAAAAACAAAACAGATATTTATAACTACTGGAGATCTATGATATGTGAAATCACATTCAGGTGCAGCACACACATTAGCGTCTACATTTGCCATAAGCTTTAAATAGATTATCCCAAATTGTGCTTATTGTTACATGACTATCATGTGCAGATCAACATTTCCCTTTTTTACAGGATTAGTGTTAGAACCATGTGGAGCAGTCTGCAGCACATGATTAAGTCAAAGAAATAAAATGGCAGTTGGTTAAGAATACACATGTCTAAGGGGAAAAATGCAGTCTTATCCTGGAGCATTCAAGAGCTCTGTAAAAGTGGTCCAGCTATAAATTACAACATTGTCAATCACCACTTAATATGCGCTCAATCTCCTCAAGTCTTTTCAAGGCAGCTTCTCTTTTTTTCTCTATATCTTTAATGTCTTTAGTGGACTTACCCTTAGTCCGTTTGTCTGGCTGGCTACTGTCCAAAGACTCTGACTGGTCCATGTCCACACCTCCAAGCCTTTCTACAGAGGATTTCCACACATTCTTCTCATCCCCAGCCACCTTTCCAACAGCCTCAGACCCCCTCCCTTCCTCCTGACCCCCAGCAACCTCCTCTGCCCCCTCAACTTTTTTCGGCTTTTCCTCTTTGGCTGTTATGGTAGCTCCCTCTGCTGAAGTAAGAGGCTGCCCTGCCACGCTCATAGCAGCCATTTTACTTCGTACAATACGCAAGTGACGCCGTACATACTCCTCGTTTGGAGCCAGAGCCAGAGTTTCTTCCAGGCAGCGCTCGGCCCGTGGCAGGTCACGCTCCTCAAAGTAGACCACACACAAGTTGTGCTTGCCTTGCACATTGGTGGGGTCCATGTGTAAAATGCGCTCAAAGCAGGCTTTAGCACCACCCGTGTCCTTCTTGTGGTTCATGAGGATGTCACCCTTCAGGATCAGGCCCTTGATGTGCTCTGGGTGGTGACGGAGCAGCTCATCCAAAACAGGTAGTGCATCCATCTCGCGTTTTGACTGAGAGTAAAGCAGCGCCAGGTTAAAGAGGGCACTGCGGAAGCCGGCCTGCAAGCCAATGGCTTTACGCATCCACCGCTCAGCTGCTGCATCTTCATTGGCATCCATGGCCAGCATGCCAAGGTTGAAGTAGCCATTGGCATCTTCAGGTTCCTCCTCCACATAGGTGAGGAAACGGCGGTTGGCCTCGGGCCAGAACTTTGGTTCACCTGTCACAGAAAGAAGACACACAATACAAAGTGCCAACTGAAATTCAACTATAGAGTCTATGGATCTAAAGTCTGTGTTTTGGTTAATGCTAGGAATTACTCTAAGGCAGGGGTGGGCAATTAATTTTTACAAGGGGCCACATGAGAAACCTGAACTGTGTTGGAGGGCCGAACCAACGATAACTTGAACTTAATTCTGCTCAATATTCATTATCTCCCATTGTAAAAAGCAGTAAATTATATGTGTTGATTAGCTGCTACTGGTAATCAGAAGAATAAGCATATTGTATAAATATTTATATAAATATATGAAATTGTGGTGTAGGTCAAACAGGAAAATACTCCTATAGAAGTAATAAACAGTAAAATAAAAAACAAACATTATATCACAGTTCCATTTTATTTTCAACTTCACATAACACTGAAAAGGTGTTTTGCAGTATGGTAAAGATATGCATGTTCAGTGAGAAAAATCCAGTCTGACTTGGGCTTGAACAAGTGCATTGAAATCTGGATTTGTTGAACTTCATCACTGAGAATGTCTGTTCACATATGTAGGTATATCCAAAGATTTCCTGCGATGTCCTCAACCCTCCTCATTACAGTGCGTTGGGAGAGGGCACGTTCTCATATGCGCCCTTTTTTCTCTGGGCATATTAGTGCTGCAGAGTCTAACAAACACTCTTTAATAAACTCTCCGTCAGAAAGCGGCTTATTTTTTTCTGGTGATTTTCTGCGATATGACATAGCTTGTCTTGAAAGCTGCATCTCTGGGTGTGGAAAATTTTGTAAAAAGTCTTTGTTGGTTATGCAGTTTAACTAGCAAAGCATCCGACCCTCTTGCGTGCTCTTCATCCGACAAGTTCTTGTATTTCTCCTCATGTTTGGTAATGTAGTGGCGATTCAAATTGTAATCCTTGAACACAGCAACCTGTGTACCACAAACTAAGCGCACCGCTTTACCTTTGACTTCTGTAAACAAATACTTTCCAGTCCATGTCTTGTTGAAAATGCGGCATTCGGCATCAACTTTTCTTTTTTTGACGTGAGTTGACATTTTGAGGGTTAGCTGGCCAACATCACCTGTCTCTCACCTGGTAGGTCAGGGATCTTAAGTTCACCCATGAACTTTTTTCATTCATGTTCTGATTTGATGGACCTCACGCGGGCCGGACAGGGACGCCCAAAGGGCTGGATGTGGCCCGCGGGCTGTAAAATGCCCGAGTCTGCTCTAAGGGATATGGTACACATAGCCATAGGCGATGTCCTGATGTGTTAAACGCCAGCTCAGCCACTGCAATTCAAAAACCTGGAGTTGAGGTTTAAGAAGATTCTGCCTGTCAGCACATATCTGCTCTGACGGCTGTTTTCTGAAATTTTAATCTCTTCAAAAGAAGACTGCCAAACAATAATTAACAATAATTGCAATCACAATCAAAGTATTACTCTCTCAATACAATCTGTAATGCTGGCTGCTTCTCTGGTTCTTTTATGTACTGATACTATGAGACAGGTTTCACTTTGACGATCAATAGTTATGTTTTAATATCACGAGATCTCATCACACCCCTATTAGCAACAGTTTTTTAAAACTGTTCATCTCAATCATTACATGTCACTGTAAATTAAATGGTGTGAAGCAGTTCAACTGTTAGAAATCTCTTGATTGATGGAGAAGCAAAGAAAAACCTTTACAAGTGTGATGAGATCATAGCAGTGGAAGTTACACTTCTGTTCCACGCACTTGGATTCACCTGTAGCAGGAAGGTGTTGGTTGATTGGGGTGTATGAACCCTGTGCGGAACCCATGGGAGGAAAAGCTAACATAAACCACATAAACCTCCAGTAAATATAACTGCTTATTAAATGGTTTGTCATAGTCGATGAAGCTTGACTTGACAGAAACCTGAACTCTGCTGGTGCATGTAGGGTTCATTGCAACATAAGGGCCAATTTTTAAGAACCTAGTTACACCCTAAACATAACAGGTTTTTTTCCTTTGTTCATACCAGTTGGCGTTAAACAGAATTGAAAGAAATTACAAGTAATTTCCTTTAACAAATTGAGTCCTGCTGTTAGTCCAGATGGAGACTAGAGTAAATTCAGACTCTTCATTTTCTCCTTGCTAACCTGGCGGACACACTCACCTGACTCCTGCATGAGAAGTGCCGAGTTGAAGAGTGCCAGCTTGTGGCGTGGATTGAGCTCCAGGGCGTGGTTGAAGTTCTTCAGTGCTTCTGACGGGTCCTTCATCTCGATGTTGACAATGGCCAGGTTGTACCACAGGTCAGCGTTGGTGCGGTCAAGCTCCAGGGCTCGGAGGTAGGCGTCCCGGGCCTCGGTGAGCTTGTTCATCTTCAGCAACAGCTCCCCTCTGAGCCAAATAAAATTCAATAAATCCAAAGTACACAAACCAGGAGTCTAAGGGTGGTAGTTATGTCTTTAACATTAAGGATGCACCGATACCAGTATCAGGTCTGATACCACCTTATAGTACTCATAAAAGTTGTCCGATACTACACACCTATACCACTTAACGGCAGCATTACTTTAATCTTACGGTGGTTGAGCCAGTAGTTTCAAGTTTCAAAATTTCAGTGGTTTGTGGATATTTTAAGATAAGTAACAACAATAAAGTAAAGCCACAGACAGCAACTCTTGTTAAATTAAACCTTTAAATTGCTGATTGGGTGGGGTTTGTAAAATAATTTTGTCCTAACAGAGGGTCACACTCCTACAAAGGCTAAAAACCGCTGTATTACAGTATATGTAGTAGGCTGCAGACCTTCAGTCAGTTACAAGTCATCTATAGTAGGAATGGTGGCAGTGCTGTGTTTATCACAAAGTTTTCAAATTTATAAAACCTCCTGTTTTATATATATATATATAGGATATTTCAAACTTTTTTAACAAATAAAAAACTGAAAAATTGGGCATGCAAAATTATTCAGCCCCTTTACTTTCAGTGCAGCAAACTCTCTCCAGAAGTTCAGTGAGGATCTCTGAATGATCCAATGTTGACCTAAATGACTAATGATGATAAATAGAATCCACCTGTGTGTAATCAAGTCTCCGTATAAATGCACCTGCACTGTAATAGTCTCAGAGGTCC